AAACACATACAGGACTAGGTTGTAGTAAAGTAGTTAGAGAAGTAGGCTAGAGACTAGGAGGAGGATAAGGATAGATAAGTTTACTAGAAAGGCTGACTATACATTCTAAAGGATTAGAAACTGTAGGAGGACATTGTCTGAGCTTATTATAACAATCTGACTGTAGGACATCTAGACTAACACAAAATGTAGGAACTCATTACTCAGAACTACTAGTAGTTAGGAATGTAGAGGGAAATCCTAAAGTATGTGACTAGTTACAATACATACTAACAGACTAAGGCCTACTGGACAAGGGTTTAGACTCCCCTACATTTGTATTAGATTCTAGATCATTCTTGAGAGGAAGTCTTAGTAGACCTAATTAGTAAGCTACTTGAGTCTTAAGGTTACAACACTATCTGTGTAATTGTCAACTAATTCTCTAAGCAAGTCTACATAGTTCTGACTCAAACAGAACTCACTTCTGAAAGTATAGTACATATCTATTAGGATCATGTCTTCTAGTTGTACAGACTCCCTCAGAAGCTCATTCACAATTATAGACTATAATTTAAGTTGAAATTTATGTAGGACTTGTATATACTTCTTAGAATTTAAGGGAACCCTTCTACTACATATTACCTACAGACTAATAGTCAAACTGAGTGAGTCAATCAGGAGATTGAGCTCTATCTCTAGATGTTCATTAATCATTAATAGTTGGACTAGTCTGAATGGTTAGCTCTAACAGAATTTGTGTATAATAACTAACAACACTCTACAACAGAACAGTCTCTGTTCTTCCTCAACTATAAGAGACATCTGTACTAGGGGACAGTTCTAAACTGGAACAGTAGTTCTGAATCTATAATAGACTTTGTAAAACAGATATACAAGACTAGGGAGGATGTACAAGCTCTTTTAGAAAAGGTAGTACAAGTTATAAAGTAGAACTATAATTGAAAGAGATCTGTAACTAAGGATTACTAGCCTAGTAACAAAGTTATACTAGAAGCTACTAATCTGACCTTGGATTGCCTAATGAAGAAGTTAGACAACAAGCACTTTAGACCCTTTATTATTAAAAAGAAGGTTAGTGTCTCTGTCTACAAACTCTAACTTCTAACAACATGAAAGTGTATACACCTAGTGTTTAACAAGGTTCTGTTGTCTCAGTACTATAATCCAGGTTTTCCTTCATAACAAAGACCCCTACTACCTCTACTAGAACTCATTGGTTCTAAACTAGAATACAAAGTAGAGTACATAGTAGATACTAAGCTACTGTACAGAAAACTCAAATTCCTTATTTACTAGAAAGGGTACTCAGTTGAAGAGCACACTTGAGAACCTACTGAGAACCTTACTCATACTCCTAAGGCAATCTAAGACTTCTATCAGCTTCATCCTAGTACTCTGTACAAACTCAGTCTTACAGATTTCCAAGCCCTACTATTCTAACCTATACTCAAACTACTAACTGAGCCTAATGTTTACTAATCAGGACAATTGGTTTTAGAGGGGGGGTAATGTTACAGTTCTCTACTCTTACACTCTCAGTTCCAAGGGTTCCACACCTTTCTGTACCAGAACTTAGGACTTCTGTCCCTCAGGGGTGCTGTTTATAGACTACATGTGTACTGACTCTTACTACTACCCCTCCTTACTTTATCATTCTGTTCCTTTAACTACCCCTTCATTCTTTGTTCATTCTATAGTCTCTTACCCTTTGTCCATCCCTTCATTCTTTGTACCTTTATCTTTAACCTTCCTTTCTTTCATTCTTTATAGCTTATCATTCTTAGTAGCTCATACTCCCTGAGTACTCTTGTGTAGTTTAGTATATATAGGTGTACAAGGTCAGACTGGTCCTGTAGTCTTGATCTTGTCTACTCTAGATAGTCCTGTACTCTTAGGCTCACTCTATATACTCTACTCTTGTCTCACTCTCTCTCTCTCTGTCCATTCTGTAAGTTCTGACTATGTTCCAGTGCTTGTATTCTGTATTTCTGTTGTGTAGGATAGTTGTAGCCTGGGTCCCCTCACTGAGCCTTCAGGTCCCCTCTACACTGTTGCTGACATATACATGTAATACAGCTTAGATTAGATTTATATGTTTAATATAACTTGTATACATATTATATATAGTGATGTATAACTTGTAGTAACCTTATATATTATATAACACTTGTATCTGTTTTACATACTGTAATATATCTTGTATTCTTATTATATATTAAGTCTAAATATTATTTTTAGCTTGTATATTAAAAATAAGAAAGATGTTTTAATATATAGTATAAAAGCTTATACAGTGAAACCTGTCATTAAGCATGACCCACTGTGGACAGGTGAGGCCATGCTTAATAAGAGGTTATGCTTGTTGACAGTAGCTTAAGTAAAGTAATAAAATTTCCTTATTTGTAGTACATAACTTAATAATACATTGTCTACTTAAAAAATGACTGAATATCAGTCTGTTCAAGAGAACTATTTATTTTCTTGTGTAGGTTTCTTGTAAGCTTTGGAAAAAGTGCTCTAGCCTTAGTAAACTCAGCACCAATCTTACTCTGAAAGAGTGTATTGAGCTTTGAAAGCAATTGGACAGCCTCTGTATAGCTTTTGATGCTTCAACTTTGGTGCTTTGCTATGGGCAGGATCCTTTGGTAGAGATGTATTATTGACTGTACTTGTTTGTGGATGAATACTAGTGGAAGTATGGATATCTGGAAGCAGAGCTGAGAGATTGACAGAGGAAGCTTCTCTAGAATAAGTGAAAACAATTTCACTAGCATCCTTGAGTGTTCCATCTGGGTTCTGTACACATCCAAGCTCCTCAGACATGATGAACAATAAGTTTTAATAGTGGTTTTCATTACATTATACATTTATTTTACAAAATGGAGGTGGCCTGTACAAAAAGTGGCTCTCTCTGGGTCATGATCTGCACTGTCACATGACCCGAAATTTCCTTTAATTAAGCATATTCTCAATCTCACACCTTAATGCTTAATGCTTAATGCCCTTTATGCTTAATATACCTCTATTTTCCTGCCTACCAACTTGGTGGATCAAATTTTTCATGCTTATTGAGAGGAAATGCTAAACTACAAGTATGCTTATT